CCCCTCTTGTCCCCAGTGTCCCCTTTTCATCCCCAGTGTCCCCTTTTTGTCCCCAGTGTCCCCTTTTCATCCCCAGTGTCCCTTCTCCAGTGTCCCTTTTGTCCCCAGTGTCCCCTCTCACCCCCGTGTCCCCTCTCACCCCCCGTTGCAGAGCACCAGTTCTACCACAAGTGGGCCATCCTGTCGGACCCCGAGGACCTCACGGCGGGGCTCAAGGGCTACCTCAAGTGTGACATCGCCGTGGTGGGCAAGGGGGACAACATCAAGACCCCCCACAAGGCCAACGAGACGGACGAGGACGACATCGAGGGGTGAGGAGGCTCCAGAACCCGCTGGGGGTGGATTTTCCTGACCCTTCCCCCCGGGATCGGGGCTCAGAGGGGACAATCCCGGTGTCTCCAGGGGCAGGACAGAGGTCCTGGTGTGGGGACAGTGACAGCAGGCACAGCCCTGTCCCTCCTGTCAGTCAGAACGGGGCAGGACACAGGTCCTGGTGTGGATCCTGGTGACACTGTCCCTACTGACAGTCAGAACAGGGTAGGACACAGGTTCTGGTGACAGCAGGCACAGCCCTGTCCCTCCTGACAGTCAGAACTGGGCAGGACACGGTGACAACAGGCACAGCCCTGTCCCTCCTGTCAGTCAGAATGGGGCAGGACACAGGTCCTGGTGTGGATCCTGGTGACACTGTCCCTCCTGACAGTCAGAACTGGGCAGGACACAGGTCCTGGTGGGGGGACAGTGACAGGAGGCACAGCCCTGTCCCTCCTGTCAGTCAGAACGGGGCAGGACACGGTGACAACAGGCACAGCCCTGTCCCTCTTGTCAGTCAGAACTGGGGGGACACAGGTCCTGGTGCAGGTCCTGGTGACACTGTCCCTCCTGTCAGTCAGAATGGGGCAGGACACAGCTCCTGGTGTGGGTCCTGGTGACACTGTCCCTTCTGTCAGTCAGAACTGGGCAGGACACAGATCCTGGTGTTAGTCCCAGTGACAGCAGGCACAACCCTGTCCCTCCTGACAGTCAGAACGGGGGGGATATGGGGTCCTGGTGCACCAGTGACACCCTCCTGTCAGTCAGAACTGGGCAGGACACAGGTCCTGGTGTGGGTCCTGGTGACACTGTCCCTCCTGTCAGTCAGAACGGGGCAGGACACAGGTCCTTGGGTGGGAAGGTGTTTTGGGATGGGATGGGGCAGGACGGGGTCTCATCACCCACTGGGAAAGCAGAGGGAGGTCTGGGTGAGGTTTTCCCTCAGGCCCTTTGACTCCCCAGAGCTCCCCCAAAGGGTGGAACCAAACCCCAGGTAAAAAAAAACAAACCAAAGTCTTGAAACAAAAATCAGGAGATTCCCAGAGCCGATTCCAGCCCCAGAACCCTCCAGGGCCATTAAATTTCCACTCTGCCCCTCAGCCTCTCCCCACGTGGAATCCTGGGATTGCTCGGGTTGGAAATGACCTCTAAGGTCCAGTCCAACCATTAATGATTAGAAACCCAGACCAGGAGCAAAAAATACCAGCCCAGCTCTCCTGAATTCCTGAGGGGGATCGAGGCACCCCCTGGGCTATTTGGGGCACCCCCTGGACTATTTGGGGCTCTTTGGGGCACCCTCTGGACTATTCTGGGCACCCCCTGCACTATGTGGGGCACCCCCTGGGCTATTTTGGGCACCCCCTGGGCTATTTTGGGCACCCCCTGGACTATTTTGGGCACCCCCTGGGCTATTTTGGGGCACCCCTTGGACTATTTTGGGCACCTCCTGCACTATTTGGGGCCATCATTCCGTGCTCTGGTGGTGTTGTTATCCCGCTTTTTCATGGAATGAAAGAACGGTTTGGGTGGGAAGGGATCTTTAAGTTCTTCTGACTCCAAAGGGCACCTTCCACCAACCACGGGCAGCTCCAGCAATTCCTCTGGAAAAACTTTGGCTCCCACCTTCCCCCTGGACCCTCTTCTTCCCCCGGAGGAGGAAAACCCACCTGTGCCTTAAAAACCAAATCGGTGGAGTTTATTTCTTCCCCCAAAACAATCCCCCTGCACCCCCATAAAGAGAAGGAGACTCTCCCAACATCCCACTCGTCCCATTCCTGTGGGAATCAGGGTGGCCTCTCCCTGATGGGTCTTTTATGGAACCCCAAAAAGGTCAGAGGAGCCCTCCAGGGTCGCCCAATCCAACTTTTATCACTCCTTCCCTGCGACAAACCCGCGGGTTGGGGGGCCACAGCGGGCAGTTTTTCCAGGAATTCCTCTGGAAATCCCAGGGAAAATCCCCTCTGGAATTGCCAGGAACCTGCTGCTCCCCGACGGGGTGCCCCCGGAGCGGCAGTGGGCTCGCTTCTACGTCAAGGTGTACCGGGCTGAGGGGCTGCCCAGGATGAACACCAGCATCATGGCCAACGTCAAGAAGGCCCTGATCGGGGAGAACAAGGACCTGGTGGATCCCTACGTGCAGGTGGCGTTTGCGGGGCAGAAGGTGAGCGAGGGGGGGACACCGGGAGGGGACACGGGCGGGACCGGCCGTGGACGGGGGGTCTGGGTTGTCCTGGGGGTGTTGGGATGTGTGTGGTGTGCCCTGGTTGTCCTGGAGATGTTGGGAT